GTTCATTTATGTTCAACAGGAATAGCAGGGGGCCAAGCACAGTTTCACAAGGTACCGCATTCAGTACTGCTTTCCACCCTAACAGTACGCTACTAACCCTTACCTTCTACCTTCTATCCTTCAGGTAGTCGCTAAACCACTCACATAGGCGCTGGTCTAATCTAAAACGTTTGAGTTTACTAAGAGTACTTAAATGGCTGCCTTTTTGAATGCGTTACTGAGATCGATAAAGACAACGTTCAATATATGGTTCATATCCCTGGTTTCGACCCAGTATTCCCTAGCCAACAGTTAGTCTGTCAGGCAGGATCGTCCTGGTCGGAATCCATGCTGTTCCACCACTAGTTAGCCATTTCTCTCCATATGAGCCAACAGCTGATCCCTCTTGAGTGTTTCTGATACCTTTGCTATAATGCGGGTCAGACTTAGAGGCCGGTAGTCAGATAGTAACTGCCTGTTCCCCTCTTTGACGATGGGGCTTATAAAAGTATTTTTGCAGTCCCTGGGTAGCCTAGCCTCTGACAGAGACATCTGAAAAGCCCCCGTAAGTGGGATGTGTATAATATCCATCAAGGAGGTTGGCAGTCTAAAGCGTAGTCCCTCAGTTTAAGGTGATTTACCTAGCTTCAGTTAAGACAGCAGTTTGAGAACCAATGCATCCTCTACCACAGTTGAAGGCAGTGGCTATAGCAGTGACCTTGTTATACCCCAGAGTGGCATAAGAGCTTTTCAGCTTCTGTTTTGTCTGACTCAGTCGTCTTTCCAGTACTACATATGAGTGAAAGTATACCAGTGCTATGTTTAGTCCAACGTTTGATATAGTCTTTTGGGATAATCCATACAATCCAGTCCTATCTGTCTCACATACTCTGTAAGACTTTTGTCAGTCATATACTTACGAAGGTTTCGAACTTTGCGGTATTCCATCCGAAACTCATCCCTACCAGTCACAGCAAACCGGTCCCATAAGTTCTTTCGTTTTCTTAGTAACCTCCTTATTTCATTGCTAATCCAAGGTGGTTTATGAGATAGTTTTCTAGGCGTAGACCAAGGTACAACGGGTTCAGTGACACACTCTAGTGTGTTCCTAAATCCCATCCAAGCCTCCTCAACAGTCCGGTGTGTATTAACAGACCAGTCAGCTAGGGTTACTGCATTTCGAATTGCAGGTATATTCGCTTTCCAAACGTTTGGGTGAGCGGCTGTTGACCTATGTATGATGGCCTGAATCCTGAACATAAAAGTAATAACTATGTGGTCACTACTGCCTAGCGGCGCCAGGCACCTAATGTTACCGAAATCCTCCTTCTGGTGTGTTAGCACCAAGTCTAGAGTAGACGGATCATGTTCAGGATGGTATCGTGTTGGTGTATCCATATGCTGCACAAGTGCGCATTCAAGTACTGCCAGTATCAGTTCCCTATTGAAACAATTGTACGAAGTAGTTGATCTTAATTCCTCCCAATTAATATGCGGGGCATTAAAATCACCTACTATTAGACACCCATTCTTTCTACTCCACGTCCTGAGGTAATTTATAACGAAATTGTCAGCTTGGCTGGTAGGACTTCTATAAATAACCCCAGTCGTCACAGTGCTTTTGTTCAAGTTAATGACACAACCTGCGGCTTCACAGGTGCCACTGTCATGACCTTCCAACAACGTCGACCTAATTCCTATGTCATCGCGGATGTATAGGGCGACCCCCACCTTTCCGACTACTTACTCTGTCTGCTCTAATGCAGATGTACCCAGGTATGAGTGGAGTTAAGTTTATACCCATTAACAACCATGTTTCGGTGATAGTAATCACATCCGGCTGTAGTTCCTCAGTCAACACTCCTAGTTCGGAAAGCTTATTCCTAAGACTACAAGCGTTCGTGTAGCATACTGTGTTCACTCGACTTATGAACAGAGGTCTGGGCAACATAGGTTTCCGAGACCTCACTACCCGAAAACCCAACAGTTTGAGGTCTTTTTCACCTTTTTCTAATCGGGTCTTTAATTCAGCCACGGCTTCTCTTCTCCTAATTCTATCTTCCAGAGGCCAGTCTGGCCTAATTCTCATCTTTTTATTCTTGATCTTAAATGCGTTGTTGAGAATAATAGTTTTCTCCATCTCGTTCCCCAGTACTACCTTCAGCAGTCGTGGGGAACTTTCCGTCGCATCGGCGATTCGTTTACCGATTTTGATGACTTTCCTTATGTGAACACCATTTGTTTTTTCTGGAAGTATTTCACGGATGATGCAGCTAACTATTTCGAGATCGTCAGCATGTCGAGAAGCTGGATCTACCTTCTTCGATTCCCCCAAGTTCCAAATTACTATACTGTAATTTGAGTCCGAAGGTTTAATCTTATCAGTATTTGTTATGATGCTAGATCTTTTGTCACGAGGTCACTGCTTAACTACTGACCAATGCCCACTTAACTGGTAAAGCAGAACACGAAGAGAATCAACGGCAAAACCAGGTTCATTTATTATGACAAAAGTGACTGTATTTATAAGGAAAATAAGATAGACTGGAAATCAACCAATCAGGTTGGGAGTTGGAATTGTGCAAGCGTCCAATCAGAACCAGGAACAATTGCATGTCAACGACTTGTTAATAACGCGATAATAACTTGATAATTGCATGTGTTTTGCCTCTTCCTAACAGTGTTTACGGCCGTTGAGACCTTATCACTAAGCGCAGTACTTTTCTCTTTCGTATGATTCTTGAGCTTCCTATTCTTCGGCACTAGCCAGGTGGAATCAGATGGTTCCGCTTTACTCTCACCGCAGTTGGAAGCCGTGCGTTCACCAAAGACGCAGCGCTTCATCGTTGTGGTATCACCGTGCTGTCTTAGAATGTTGGCACTGTTTGCCCTCCTAGGTTTTCGGGGCTTTTTGTGTGCTGTTGCAGACTTCTGGGCTCACCTCTGTTGCTTCTTTCGAAGCTAGGGGATGTGGTTCTGCCTCAGTCTTATGACTAAGGCCAGAATCCTCGCTTATAACATCAGTACTAGATGCTGCATTTTTCCCCTCATCAGAGGTGTTTGGTAACTTCTTGGACATGAGAAGTCCTACGGCCTCTTGGATGAGGACATCCAACGGGTTTGAACAAAATTTGCACATCCACGGAGATGAGGGCTTGCTGCATCTCCTATAGGCTGATGGGGATAAGCCAGTGCAAACTCTATGGAACCATAGGTTGCAGTTATCACACTGCATCCTATCCTCCACCGGAAAGTGGCAGCCCGGTCGTCCACAACTATTTGTGGGGCTCATGTCAGTATAAGCTGTTTAAGTTACACACAAATATGTATATATATACCTAAATACAGAGATATAAAAACCACACAAAAAGTCACAAAAGTGCACAAAAATAGATATTGCTTTAACTAATTAAACCAGTTAAAGTAAACCAAAAAGATTCTGATGTGATTTACAAAACAAAAGCAGAAGTTACTTCACAACGTAAAAATACCACTCTCCTTTCCGAAGCGCACGCGTGCTCATTTTGATCTTTTATGTGGTGTTTTAATGCCGTTTCCTAGCTGTTTGTTTTCTCTGGATTTATTGCATTTTTTGAGGGGGGGGGGATTGTGAGTATGTGTGCTGCGTGTGTTTTGTTGTCTAGCTGTAAAATTTTTCTCGGATCGTCCTCGAATTTTTTATTTATTGTACTACTTGGTGCATGAAGGTTTTTCTTATATGTGAGGAAATTTGTATTTACCTTGAACTTGTTCCATCATATAAACTGTTTCCTATATATTTGGTACTACAGGTTTCTCTAATTTCACGGGCTTTTGATGTGAGTCATTCATGCGTGTAATTGTAAGATATGATGCTTTGATGACAGTTTGTTTTTATATGTTTGTAGTCTCATCATGTAGTTGGTACTAAGGCTGACTGAGAAGACTTTTGATCATGTATCTGACTACCTGAGAAACGCTTGTTGATCGTCTACGCTGCTGCACAGAAGTTCTGGTAAACTTCTAGTTCATTGAGGAAATTGTGCCAAATTTGTGGTGTTTTGTCCCACTTTTCGTTGACCTCCGGGCGACTTTTACGCTGATATTTCTTCAGTGGACTTGGATTTTTCGTTTGTTTTTCTTTTCTAAACGATTTTGTTTGCGTTTGCATTATTTTATTTCCGTTAGTTAACTTTTTGTATTTTTTACTTCTGTACATGATTAATTAAATGATACTTTCTACGTGCCTTGTTTGTCAATTTCTTCAGACTTTAGGATGAGGACATACCCCAAATTATTAAACATCGTTTGCAATTTGTTTACGGTGTTTTATTGTTTTTCTTTATACTCCCTGTTCACTTGCTTTATTTGAACATTTTTCTGATGTATGTATACTCCTGCCAATCTCAGTGTTTATCACACAAAGCCTTGCATTGTATAATTTCCATATTATCACGTGATAAATTTACTAATAATATCAATCAATAATTTTAAATTATTCTAATTACTTTCATCTTTCTTGTTATTCATTTGTTTCATTTGTTTATTTATTACTGTTATTAGTAGTATTGATAAAAGTAATAATAGTATATATACCTATCTGTAAATTTGTATATGCCGTATCGGTAATACGAAACATGAAATATGAAATTAATCGTCATAACTGAAAGCAAATAAATCATTAACTTAAACAACTGTGATAATTGAACCAAAAGATAACTAGGAGAAATATGTGATGCGTATTTTCTTTTAATAATCATAAAATACTACAGTCAGTTAGCGGAAAGTTATTATCGCCTGTAAGGTTTCAAAGCAGAACGTACAAAATTCAACTGACTAATATCACTTATAGTCGATGTATAGAATAATGAAATTGATAACTGGATTCTTTAAGAGTCTGTCGAAATTTATGTTTAATGTCTTTTTACTACTTAATGTCTCACTATTAGTAATATAAACATTTTTGAAGAAAATTCAGAAAGAAAAAAATTAATTACCAGGAAATCACACTTAATTTCTTATTGAAGAAAAAAGAAGAGAAAATGAAATGGCCCGGTAGACGAATTGAATCACGTTTACGTGCATCATTTCGACGTTTATTCGGTATCCGTGAAAACAGTCATATCTCTAATTTAATCTGTCATGAACCTCGTCATGCGGAGTCATTACCAACTCAGGATTTAGAACATTTCCATAAAACTTTTCATTCCACACCTCATTCGCTGCCTAATATTGATGCTGTTGACAATTTCAATGGTAGTGGTGAACATATTCATCATCGGAACGTTGATGATGATGAAACATATATTAACGATGGTATAATTTCACCTGATATAGATATAAATAAAATGAGTAAATTATGCAATTCACGGTTCTCAGATAAATCACTCATACAATGCGGAAAGAGCTGTGGAGAACACTGTCTGTCTATAGTGCTAAATAAAGATGACACTGAGTGTATGAAAAATGGACAAGGGGAAGAAATCGAAGAGGAATATTCATCCTGTACACATAAATCAGATGATGGTGATGATGATGATGCTGCTGACAAGAGCATTCAGTACTTTAATGATGGTAAAAAGGTGACAGTTGAATCAAATAAAAATTCGCCTGTGAAACAGATAAGATCTAATTATCACCTAGAACATACTTATTCTGAATATGCACTAAGTAAGCAACAACAAGGTGAATATGGCAACGAATATATCAGAAAATCTACATCATTTTCATCAAATTTAACTATTACACCAATAAAAGAGTTGAATAAATTAAAACAATTTCGACTTCCACAAGAAGATTATGCGAAACAATGGAATCCGAGTATAAATTTTTGTGAGGTTGATAATGACTATGTTGACGATGATGGTACTGATGAGGAGAGACGTTGTTCAAATGGCAATCTAACAAGTGCTGATGACGAACATTATTTTTGGATGAAATCATCCTCTCTATCATTAAATCATATAGGCATCTATGATAATGATGCTGGTGATGACCTCGATGGCTCATGTGAAGGTGTGGAAGAGTCTCTGCCAAGGAAACGAAAATGGTGCAAAAATAATGTTAAGTCAACACCACCGACTAATTCAGATAAGTGTGATCATACAGACGAATACAATAAAGTAAGGGATATATATTCTCCATCTTATGAATCATTTCAAAGAGTAAATCAAGAATGTAGAGATAACAGTGAAACTCATCAGTTGTCTTTACCATCTCAATATTTACTGCCACACTTACAATCTGGAAAATCAATAATTCAGAGTACAACAGCGAAATGTGAAAATTACGGCGAAAATAGTGATAAACAGCATTTCAATCGATCAAAAACTGGTTCACTAAGGACTAATAATAAGTTGGAATATGATTGTTCATGTGAAACAAACACTAAAAGGTTGTATCATAATCATCATCATCATCATCATTACCATAGTCATCCCCATCATCAACAACAGCACCGAAAACATCATCGACGAATCCAACAAGAGAATCAACATGATTCTAATTGCACAGCTACAGGTGTAAGAAATACTAAGAACCTGAAGAAATACTCAACGAAGTTTGATAACATTTCCCTGGGCAATTCTACAGACTCTAGAGAGTGTGTTTCACTAGCAGAATCTACTCGTAAACCATATTCATTCCGCATACAACGTGGAGATTTAAAGTGGTTTCATCAATGTGGCACTCGAAAAGTGGACAGAAATACAGCAAAATCTTGTCGTAAAGCCATGAATACAAAAACATCGACAATGGCAGTAACACCAGGTGAAATAAAAACTGGTACTTCGCATTCTAGACTATTCGTAGGTGGAGCAGGAGAAAGGAGGAAATCAATAGTAAAGACCACAAATACCGTTACACCGATAACAACAACTGCATTGGAGGCACATTATGGGCACACAAATCAAATGAACAAAGAGTTATCCAAGAGTGCGGGTAGTATCGTCAAAGAAAAACGTCTACACAACCATGAGTGCAGCGCTAATAAAAATTCTTTTGTACCATTGGATTTAGCCAGTGTACCGAAGAAACATGGTTTAACAGGCAAACATGTGGTTGGTCGGAGTCAGAATTCAAAGTCATGCGCATCAGACGATGGTGATCAGGGTGGGTTATTTGTATTATATTATTTGTCGTTTTAAGATACGGTGGTTCCATTGAATCTTTAGATGATTTCACCGGCTGGTTGCTCTTTTACCTGAATTCTTTAAGGCAACACCCGAAAATTGTTCATCCGTATACTGGTGTTCTAGACAATAGCCAACGAGAGGATGCAGACTATTTAATCATTTTTTCCTCAAACTAAACTTCCGAACTTAATTTGTTTCTAAAAGTCTATGCTAGCTGAAGTAAGATTGTTTGATAGACATCTTGGTTGCCGGAGCAGAACATGGCTACATTTCATGGAGGACTTGATTATTTTCCTGAACCAGGCGGATGGATGTATAGTTCATACTTCAGTCTTCAGAATGTTATAAGGCAGTTAATAGGAACTAGGTAATGCCACACAAAATTATTCACAATAGCAGAAGTATATTTAATTTTTATCATTTTCAAAGTTTCGAATATCTTTTTCAATCTCTCCTGTCGCATTCGTGTTTGTCCCATCATTTACTTCCTTTATCTATCCTTCTTCGGGCTGTGGTAAATTGAAGTGATGCACAGTTGCACAGTGGTTTGTCCCTGTCTGTTTTTTTAAAAAAAATGGTTATTTATATTCAACCATATCACAGGCTTTCTAATGAAAGTAGAAATGTTTAAATGCAAGTTTCCTGGAGCTTATCTAGTCGTCAGAATATGTTTAATGAACACAAAAAACTTTGAAGATGGAGTTTTAGACCCAGGGGTTACCGAAAAGATGCAATAAACAGTAATCAATAAATAATAATAAATGTCAGGTTTTTAACAGAAGGGTTTAGTGACCACAAGATTTAAGAGAATACACTGAGAATGGTCTATGTCGGCATTAAGTTAATAGCAGGGTATGAAGTAAATGAATATACAGACAGACAACTTGATTTATTATAAAGCCCTAATTATGACGAAATGACGATATATACAGAAAATTTCAGCATCATTAACTTGTATTATCTGTTGTGTGTACACACTATGTCTAAGGAGGGGAAATCAGTCGACGAGACTATGAAATTACATCGGCTGAGATGGTTAGGACATGTGCTACGTATTCCTAGTCATCGCCTTCCTCGACGGGCAATGTTAGCTGATATAGGGCCAGGCTGGAAAAGAGCTAGCGGTGGTCAAACGAAAACATGGCACCGATCTAAGTCACTGTCAAAAGACGAGCATTGTCATACTCTTCACCGTTAGTTTATGCATAGGAAAACCTTTCGTCTGTAGTGGTAAAAATGAAAATGCTGGTGACTGTTAGTAATACTTAGATGTAATATGGTCATAGTCTTTGTTATAGAACTTCACTAACGGCTAGACTGGAGAATACAATTTTGAGTTTTTGGAGGATAAGTGAACCTTCTGCTGATAAGAATTGAGCATATTTATTCATAACTTAGTCTATAAATTTAGAGATGCTTATGAAATAGCCACATGCCTTTAATGCACACCTCTTAGAAATATGATTCACTTTTGATGAAACAATCAAGCTGAGGAAATGGAATGATTTTCTAGTTTGAAATATAATGAATCCATCCTATTGTGTAGCACCATTTTTAAAATGCTAAATTAGTATATTATGATTTTAATCGTAACAAATACCCACCAGGACCTCATAGGAGGAAACAACAAGTAGTTCAGCCAAGACATCTTTTCGGCGATTACATCGCAAAATGCTGTATAATCGTATATATATGTCCGCATAGTTACAATTGTAACGACAGAAGGCAAGAGTCAGGCAACAGATCATTTATTAAGGAAATCAACGCATATTTATATATGTTTTCATGTACATTACTATGGATATGTAGACAAACAAACACAGTCTTCCGATTGGTTGTTTCTCACGACAAATCTTGGGAACGTAAATATTGACGTAAATTACTGTCTACCAATTTGGCTAGTAGACAGCTCTCACCACACAATCATTGTAGTATCGAAGGGAGACTGAGAGAAATAATACTTTTCAAATTGATATGAAAGTTTCAAGTTGTGATGAAAGATGAATGTAGATCACAACGATCGAAGAAAGAAGATAATACAAGAGTAGGACAGTAGTTGCGCAACATGTAAACTAGTTTTTCACAAAGGTAGTTGTGGACAGGATATATATATTTTAGAAACGAACTGAAACAATAGCTGTTTTTAAACTGTGAATGAAAAGCTGTGAAGGGAATGGAAGGAAGACAGAACAAGAGAACAGCTAAGAAGTCAAACAAGACTAGATCTGTGACAGATGCAGTGGTTGAACTAATTTCTTTTGAACACACAACTCCTGTTTCTTGATGCTTATGGCTAAGGCTTTTGCAGTACACAGAGGTCAGAAGCACACTATCTTTAGTAGATTTCTCTGTACACTGAGTAAGCAAGTGTATACTTTTCTAATTAAGTTTCTCAAGATTTTAGAAATGATTAGTGAGAAACTATGCAGCATGATTCAGAGACAGTGGATATAAAGTAAATTATCTACTTTCATTTCCCTAGAAAAATCTTTCTCTATTTTAGTTATCTTACTATTTACTGTAATATTTGTATTTTTATGTCTGCCTCCCACTGCTGCTATGAAAAACTACCACTTACATCTAGCTCTGTGTGCGTCCACTCTTTTACATGCTCTTGTGAAGCTAATTTCATTGAGTACTGTAAGCGAGCTGAACACTACCTGGTTGGGTTGGCAAAAAGTGGATAGAAAAAGACGAAGTCTTATGTTAGGGGGGCATGCTACTTGGGGAAAGTTGCTTAACTTCACATAGTTTACCATTTCAGGTTATCTACAGAGCTAAATCCAGTCATTTTAAAAGTGCACGTCTATATCACCTCTTTATATCTGAAGCATTAGCTACACGAAACGTAGAATATGCGTGAGAAAAGGTTTTTATCGAATTCCTTTGTCTACACCTTGGTCATAACAGTATTCTTTCTGGTTAAATTTTATTCCAATTTACCTTGTCTTCTGTTTCATTATTGTCATGGTAATTTCAACCTTTCATTAGCAGTCTGAACCTGCACTTCTTTCATAGCTTGTCTCTGTAATTCATCAACTAAAACTGTACTAACAAAAATCAATGATGTATAGTGTGAATGGTTTTCTCCACATTACTCTATCAGTCTATTTGTTTATTTGTCTGTAAGTGAATCTACCTTATTTCAATTTGTTTACTTAATTGATGAAATTAGAATTAACGCTTGAAAAAATAATAATACTTTTATTTGATACTGTAGCGAATGATCTGTTGATGTACATAATGAACACAGAAATACATTTTTATTAATCGTATACCAACGTATTTAACCATTTCATATTTTGTCATTGCGAAGAATAGTCTGGGATGCTGTTTTGCACTGATATGTAAGAATGGTAGTAATTCGTTTTTCTTTTGACAAGTATGGATTTAAAAAAAGCTGATTTCTTTTTCTTTGTAACTGAAAAGTAATCTATCTTCAGACTGATAAAATCTTCAGACAGAATGTTCATGATCGATTCAGCAATATTTGATCGTGAAACGATCTGGGATAGCCTACTGATAGTTTTGCTAAGTGGTAACACTTCTTTAGAGTGAAATACAAAGATAGACAAATACATTGTGGGATTATTACTAAATAAGTATTTTGTTCCTGAGTACTACTGTTTTTTTTCACAAATGTTCCACATATTTAATTGAGTTTTAGATTTTCCCATCGATTGATTGAACCCAAGTGCTCGATCTCAGGTTGACATGTCTGTTGGCTTCTTGTGCAGATGCTTCGACGATGTCTGGGCATGTAATTAGAAGTTAATTGGTGGATGGTGAATAGCAGTGGAATCCAGGATGCGCATTTCGTCCTATTTGGGACTCGTCATCTGGATGTACCTGAAACCGAGCACTTCGGTCCAATCAGTCGACGGGAAAATCTGAAATTCAATTAAATAATTAATATGATCCGTTGCACAAGAGGTGGCTGTCGTGGCCCAAGTGGTCTAGTGGATAACGCTTTGGTGTTTGAAACTATGGGCACTGGGTTGGAGCTTCGGTAGGAAGGTCACCACTCACTGGGGAATGCAGGTACATCCAGATGATGGGTCCCAAATAGGACGAAATGCGCGTTATCCTGGATTCCACTGTTGGTCACCATTCACCAATTAATGTTCCACATATTGTTTAAATTTCATGTAGTCATCTATGAAATCATACTTATTGACAAGCTGTATTCTTCTCCAGTTAGATTAATATCATTGTGTGCTGAAGGAGTGACACACAGTTTAAACTTGACCATTTTTATTTGGTTAACTCCAAGTTATTCTCGAGGTAGTCTCAAATAGTCTTAGACTAGCAAATTGATTTCCATTAGATATGAAGGAACAGCATATTTCATAACGAATATCAATTGTTGCTTTAAGTGTACAAGGCAGATCTATTACTGATCAGGTATTCACTTGACTTCTAGCCAACACACGTGAGTAATTAAAAGTGATGGTTTGATAACTTGGATGTTGTTAGCTGAAATCCTATCTCAACTCAAACTTTTTTTAAAATCTCAGCATTCATGCCAATTTCAAAGGTATTATTGAGAACTGTGCTTTTCTCTTTCTCATCCTGCTTTGAAAATTCACAGTGATCCTTACTCAAAACCCAGTATGTATAATAAACCCTCTAGTATACAGACCTAGGTGTCTTAAAAAAGACAGAACAGAGAAATCGATTGAGACACTATAGCATCACATAAACCTTTGTCATACTGTAGACAATTAACATTCTAATTAAATTACAAATAAAAAATAAATAGAAGTCTCTGTTTATTAATATTCTTTTGTTTGTAGTTCTAATTTTTAAACTTCCATGGACTGTTTTAGAGTTTTATGCTGTGGGTTAATATGATCAGTTCAGATATAATAAGTTCATTGAATCTTGTCTGATTTCATGCTGACATTTGGAACTTTAAGAAATATTAGTGTCGTTAAAATCTTCATAGAAATAAATTCATCACACGGGTTTTCGTTTTGTGTACTTTATTTGTCAAGTACTTTGCAATAAACTTATATTTCATGATGGATTCCTTTCTATCTTTTCTCTTTTCTATAGGTACCAGTAATGAAAAGCCAACATTGAATAACCTTGTCAGTAGTTCGACGAATTCAACAAGACAAAATGATCAAGCCTCAGAATTACATTCCACCAAATCTCCAGCATATCGTAAAAAGTATCAACGTCATTTTCATCATCACGATCACCAGGAACAACAACAACAGCAATATCAACATCATGACAAACAGCATGGAGCACTGCCACCAAGTAAGGATTTAGATAAATGTCCAACAGGTCGACATCCGGATGTTAATCCAGAAAAACCATGTATATGTATTATGGTTAAACGTATGGTTATCGAACAATCGAAGCCAATTATTCATGAATGGCATTCTACACCAAAGCGTATACACTCTGTGTCATCAAAAACTTCAAAATTGTTCAAACACACACATGCTAGTGATTTGGATTCAAATTCCACGATAGCACCAAATCTACCAGACTTTCAACTGATCCGTCCAACACGTATGGTTCGTGGTGGTCAAGGTACAGTGGCACGTGTTACAAATCCTACGACTGGACTGAATTATGCACTGAAGTTTAAAACACGTGATCAACGTTCTGATAGTACATGGGTAATTGAAAAACGTGAAGCCCATTTGCTGCGTTATACAAATCATGAATTCATTGTAAAGTAAGATTTAAAATGGTTTGATGTTAATTTACTTACATTTATCGGATAAAACAACACTACAACATAATAAGAAATTGGGATTCTTTGTACAGATCACCATTACTCTGATGATAGGCGAGCGAATCACACTAAAAGATAAAAGTGATTTCTGGCTAGCTTTAAAGGGGCTTTGCATGCAGATCTACCACCTTCAGTTTACAGGTTTAAGAGATGAACTACTTGAAAGAAGAACTGGAAGTAAATAAATAGTTAGACAACCAGTGAAAACCATCAGAGAGTGTTGGCGAGTCGTTCCATCCTTGTCTGGGACTCTTGAGGAGTACGCATTCGTGACTCCTGCAGGGATAAAACCAGGGGCTTTAGGTAGCAAGGTGAACTAATACTAATGAAGAGTCCCAAACGCGGGCAAAAGAGCTGCTCACTAATCTCGCTGTATCACAAAACTGCAGAATTTGGAATTGGTGGGTTCCGGTGGTTGAATGGTATACGGGTTCGCCTTGTAACCTGTAGATCCTAGTTTCGATCGTGGACGATTATTTCTGAGGAATCCCAAACGAGGACGAAATAGTGCAGTGTGCAGTGCTTTCTGGTGGGTTCCAGTCGTTCTCTAACTGATAAATCTTGAAATCTGTTAAATCACTGCCAACGAAAGCTTGAAAGGCAAACAAATAGTAAATGTGTGACACTAGCTACTTAAGCTTTTGTTGGAATAATAAGAATAATTAATTGCTTTTTTTCTGAAAAGTGTCTGATAAACGAAGAAAAAATTTTCACCTTGTTTTATTGCAAGGTGTTTACTCCTTGTGAGATATTGTCAAATGATTTAAAATCCGATAATACATCATTTGAAGTAGTACTGTTGCATCAGAAGTATGCTCCATTACTCCGCAAAGTTTTTCCTCCATTTCCTTCTAAAAGATCACAGCACAGTGTTGAAACCTTTTCGGAAATGTGTGTGTGTTTGTGAAAGTAATTGGATTGTTTGAATGTTGTATTTAATGGATGGAAAAAATTTGGTAGCCCAGTGATTTAAACTAGACGCCTGATAAGAAGTTGAGTAGTGAATACTGAATTTTGTTTAATGCATTAGGAGATTAAGTACATGTGATGTGGACATCAGGAATGATCACAAAATGTAACTTATATTATAATTTTATCGTTTGAAGTCTTCACTTTCAGGAGTCCAATACACCTTGAGTTACATATTAATTAAGTTGACTGAAGATAACCACCTTCTCCAGAGCTACATTTTTTGAGGTGGATTCAGTTTCGACACTGACCACTTTACTCTCTATACACTTACAAAGCGCAATAACAGATGACTATTTTAAGCTTCTTCATTTGTAATTTATTTATTTGTTACAAAAATATGTAAGAGATATTCTAGGCTAATCATCACAGTGTACAGTCATTAAAGATTCTTAGAAAACAGAAGTGTTGTTATTATCACAACCATAATTTGAACATGACTTGGTGGTAATCACGCTCCTTAGATCCCTGATGGCTATTAGAAATGAGGAACTTTGTCGAGTATTGGTGGTTATCTGTATGTGTTAGATGAGACAGTGGTTTACTCTAAACAGATAAAATTACTTAAATTTGCAAATAAAAAAACTAGTTTTTACTTAGAGGGACAGATGGCACATCGAAGTCGTACGAAATTGAGCAATAACAGGTCTGTGATGCCCTTAGATGTCCGGGGCCACATGTGCGCTACAATGACGGTGCCAGCGAGTCTGGGAACCTGGCCCGAAAGGGTTGGGCAAACTGTTTCATCACCGTCGTGACTGGGATCGGGGCTTGCAATTATTCCCCGTGAACGAGGAATTCCTGGTAAGTGCAAGTCATAAGCTTACGCTGATTACGTCCCTTCCCTTTGTACACACAGCCCGTCGCTACTACCGATTGAATGGTTTAGTGAAGCCGTTGGATTGGTGTCGTTGCAGTGGCTTTGCCGCTCGACTGATGCCGAGAAGACGACCTAACTTGACTATTTAGAGGAAGTAAAAGTCGTAACAAGGTTTCCGTAGGTGAACCTGCGGAAGGATCATTACAAGATTCTCAAACATGTACCCAATTGATGCACGGATATTGTTCTGGTGTGCTGAGACACGCCAGTGGGTATTGGTTGGCCTGACTAGTCGACCGGCACCCAAGCATAGATGTTGGTAGGCAAAGACAGCAGGTTGGTAACACCATCAATGACATTAGTCGCCTGCCTAGTCGATCAGCACTATAGCATGTGTTTTGCAACTATCCGGTCAAATCTTGATCACAGTTCATATGAAAAAAAACTAGTTATTCTTAAATAATTTTTTAGAGAATCAACATGTAGATTGTCAGGTTAACAAACCAAACTGTTACCTTGGTTTCAAACTGGGACCAAATAACACTTCAGTGCTTCTTGATTTCTTACGGTTATTAATACCTGATAAGTTGATACTGTCGCTGAGTTAATTCATCGTTACCAAAAATTTTAAAATCTGAATCTTGATTCTCCGCTTATTATTGACTAGAGTCAAAAGGGATGGCACAAAGTTCTAATCAGACGCGATGATCAGCTGAGATCCACTACTCTGGTATGAGGATATTTAATCATTTATGATATTGGGTGACATGTGTTGCGTATGCCTAGTCATCGCCTTCCTCGACGGGCAGTGTTAGCTGATATAGGGCCAAGCTGGAAAAGAGCAAGCGGTGGTCAAACGAAAACACCAGTCAATGAAATCTACAACAGTTAGTCTAAGCCACGTAGGAAGATGTAGACTTCCTGGTTGGGGTCCTCGGGACGGTAAAAACTGATGGTAGGAAACAATTGGTGATGTGGCTCAAAATCGTTCTCAGTGGCGCAAATGCATCCATTCCTTGTGACTTATGATTTCCAATTAAACTGTTTTGTTCTTCGTTATTACTATACCTTTGTCTCACACCTCTGTTTACTGTCTATATTATGCATTTCTCCTACTTCCTTCTCTTGCTTTGTGTGCTACATGGAGTGTGGCGACTTGAACTGCCGCACATATGTGCAAAGTTCAATGTCGAAAACCGACCGACCGACCGACATTCCATAATGACAAGACTAAATTAGAAGAATTCTAAGAGTGGTTGATAAAGACCATTCATCAGCTTATGAGTGCATTTATTGTTCATCTGTGTCATTCAGAGTAATTGAGGTTAAATGTATCAACGAAACTTGATTTTATGCTACTATATTTCAAGAAAGAGCAAGAAGAAGAACTAAAGTTATATTCACATAAGCTGAGCAGCATGATACTTGTACAGCATGTTGTTCACTTTGACTGGATTTTAGATTCGAGGAGACTTCAGTCGATATTTTGTGTGTATTGACACTTTTCATTCTTTTTAATTCAAATCTGCTTCGAAAAGTTACACTGGTTACAATAGTACACTCCCGGAATAAGTCAGATTCGTGCTCTTGATGTCATTGTGTAACGACAGAGGCCGGAAGACTTGGTTAAAGTATCTCTATATAGCCAGACTATGTACATCTTATCTTCAACGCACAATTTGCACAGACCTTCGTGTTGTAGTACTTCCGGCCTTCATATTGTGTTTCTTTGTGGTTCTTTCACGTTTCCCATGTATCTCCACAACGCTGTACCATTTGCCTTCTCTGACATCAAATGTATAAATAATTGATATTTGATGTTTTTATGCCAATGAACGTCTCTTTATATACTGCTGATAAATCTTATCAGTAGCACTCGCCACAATAGCAGTAAAGTCAGTAGCATCGATATTGTGCGGTAGAAGTTTGAATTTCAAGGACAGCACAAATTTCCTATACCGCAGCAAGTACTCCTTGCTACTAGTGATTATTCACAGGTACGAAATCTAGGTTAAGTGCTTTCTAATAACACATTTCTTCTAATATTTCACTATATGTTATCTTCAGATAATAATTTCTATTCTAAATGAGAGTTCCTGTCAATATTTAAATACCCTTCTGTAATCCTACTATCGTGCGTCGGTGGCATAGCGGTTAGGACGCTCGCCGATCATTCACATGGTCCAGGGTTCGATCCCCGGCCGACGCACTCCTATACCTCGCTAAGCCAGTAATAAGACTGGTAGAGAGGAAAGGTTGGGCATGAGGCTAGCAACCCCATCCTGTATAAATAAACACTGCTAAAGAAACTTCAAGCCTCTAGCTTGAAGCCCTATGTTCCACTGGGAACGTGAAGGAAAAAAGATCCTACTATCCATCGCTAAAATCTTATTAGACATATATAAAGTTTAATAAGCAATATTTTTTTGACTTTAAAATCGTTCATTTTTTAAAACTTTCCTTTCACCAACAACTATTTTTTAGATTATATCATGTGTATGAAACAGAAGATGCCTTATTTATGGCATTAGAATGGTTAGATGGTGGTTGCCTATGGAATCATATTGCTAAATATGGTACAATGCCAGAGTGTTATGCTTTATACTATGCTTCGTGTGTATTATCTGCATTACAGTATTTGCATTCTAAGCAGATTGTCTATCGGTTAGTTATTATATTAATTTTATATATGCTGAAATATGCGAAACATGTTCTTCCATTGTTTAATGGTACCGAATCGTTTGAATATTCACATATATATATATTGCTTTTTAAGATTGACCACAGATTGATATCATTTAGAGGACCATTTAAAACCAAGGAGTACTGGACGACTGCCTCGTCCTAGTTTCGGATTCATCTGCAGTACGCACTCATTGGGCTTCGGACCCAGGACATTTGGGTTACAAGGCGAACTAGTACCTCATTCAACCACTGGGACCCGACTCAATGGCCGACGAATTCTAGGTCGTACCAACTTGTAATTTTAGCGCAACTGGCACCAGCTATTGTCATCCATGGTGAGCATTTTTCTTCACTTTTTACAAGATGGACCCCACTGGTCACGACTTCTCAATAGAACTCCAGGCAACTTCGTCCAGTAGCCAGTCACCAGAAAGCATCAGATTAATTTTCAAGAGCTGGTTTGTAGGGGTTTGATTTATTTTTCATGTTTGACCACGGATTGATATCAGTTAGAGAAGCATTGAAAAACAGGGAATACTGGACAGCGTACTGCCGATGAGTCCCAAACCGAAATGAAACAGCTGTCAAGTACTCCCTGATTTTCAATGGTTCTCTAACTGATATCAATCCGTGGACAAACTTGAAAAATAAATCAAATCCCTACAAACCAACTCTTGATAATAATAATTATTATAACAATAATGTGGTGTAAACACACTGGTGACTTTGAACTAATGGAGAACACTTGTAGCTTATGTGGATATTTCAAGTATTGTTTTCTCCGGGTTGGATGGTTGGTTACCATTTTCCGGAAGGATAGTTAATGCTTCGCAATTAGCCTATGTAGCTCAGTGGACAGCATAACACTGGAAACAGCGGAGACTTTAAGATAAAGTCTCACCTCCAGTGTCTCCACTAAGATAGTTCGTTTCTACAACTGATGGCTAGCTATATAACATCGAAACTTCAAGATCATTCGGTCGCTGATATTTTTATTAGTAAAATGCTAAGAATTTGAGAATTGTGGCGTTAGATTTATTTTTGTTGATTCTATTATCTTGAAACCTCATCAGCATTCTATACACTTGACTTAATTTCTTTATTGATAAAAGTGTTATCCTATTGCAATTCTAGGTTCTTTGCGAAAAAAAAGCACTGAAGAGTTTAATTTTTTTTAAAATTCAGAAACGATTTAGACCTATCCGGCTACATGATTTAACTGAATAACTTATAAATTAAATTCATACTCTGTCAAACTACACTTACTCCAAGAACATTTTGTATTTCGACCTTTTTACACTAATCTACAAATATTCCTCATTGTTTCTGAATGAATTTTGGCATTCGTGAGAAAGCTTAATAATAAAAAAACATAATTTTAAACACTTCATATACATCAAATCCTGGGATGTTCTAAAAGAAGAGAACATAACCTACTGTGAATTCCAGCACTCCAGATATTTTTTATATCCCTGTTACTTGCTCAATTCTATGTTTTTTAAACTATGTGACAACCTCAGCCATAGTACATTTATTCAAGGTTTCATGTTGTTGGTTTTACCTGTCTATCTGTCACATTCACTATCGCCAATGAAGACTGAAAATGGCAGGTAAATTAAAACCAAAACTCTAATAAGAAGAAGTGAGGCTGAGAGAGAGAGCACAAAATACATGAAATAAAAACAGAAAGAATTTGTCGTCATATGTAATATTAGCAGTAGAATTATGTTATGGCTTGGGTTGGCAAACTACTGTGAACGTAATAGGGGATAATTTAGGGTGAAATGGAAATCTGGGTCTCCGCAGGATGCAAACCAGAGGTGAGCTGGTGATATATCTGCTCCGTTAATTGTTGTAACGGTAATGAACTCAACTGGTACGCTAATACGCCTACTCATCCTTTGTACCTTCCGCCTAATTAAGTTACGCGAATATCAAAAGACAAAGGCTGGCTTGTGACTGTAAGATACTGTATATTTTATTAGGAAACAACACATCATATTTATACATTTTCTTTACCACAATAAAATTCGGCTCACAGCAGTAGGAATGGGTTGTTCTTATTGACTGACAATAGCTGTTCTGGTTGGCTGATGCTCCGACAAAGACCAAGGTGAGACAAAAGATGATCAATTGATCACAGGATAAATCACAAAATTCGTGAGGAAGGATGATCCTGGATCCTATCAGCCGGTATGGTGCCTGACAATTTTTATGAGTTCTGCAGCTAACCACGTCTTTATTTCACCTTGAAATCATTACCCATTTTATATGTGATTATTACACGCTTAGTTTAGTCTGATATTAATATTTTCATTAATTTTTATTCTGATTGATGATAATTAGAGATATGAAAGCAGAGAATATTGTACTCGACAATCGTGGACGACCAAAATTAGTTGATTTTGGTATGGCTAAACGTTTTCATTTCAAAAGAAAGTCAATTGAACATATTGCAAATTCACCATCAATTGAAGTGAGTACAAATGACTCAGAGAATTTTACTGATCAACCACCAACACGTTATTATTTTGCAGCATATTTAGCTCCAGAAATATACGATCACACAGAATGTAATAATCAATTAATTGACTCATGGGGATTAGGTTATATAATTATTGAGATGATACTTGGTTACGGCATGTAAGTCAGTTACTTCTGTTTACAAATTATTGTTTATTTTATACTGTGTTTTTCATGAGAATGATCAAGCTTACTTTGTTAAAAAATGGGTGACTAACTTGGACATTGTGTAGTAACTTCCTACCTGAACTCCACTATGAAGTGGTATTGAAATAAAAAATAGCTAAAACATTGCAAACTACTTAGAACATGAAACAATGGAGTATTTGATGTTTATGTGCGTCGGTGGCACAGTGGTTAGGACTCTCGCCTACCATGCACATGGTCCGGGGTTCGATCCCCTGCCGACGCACATCCGATATCTATGGTCGGCCTGCAAAATTTGGGCTACCGATATCCATGCTGAAAATTCCATACTTGTACTGAAAATACGGTATGGCATCAAGCTGTAATAAAAATAAAATAAAAAATAATTATAGCAAGGCAAAAGAGAAAACAGAGCTACGACAAGGGATGACATTGTGTTATACATGAGGTAGGACCTTAAATTGATAGTTTCTTTTGTCTAAAAAGTGCTATATATAGGAAATTAACCCAATTTTATGCCCTCTCTTATTCTATTGTTTGCTTAGATTCGATCCAATGCCATGGGAAAAAGATTCAAAAAATCATTTAAGTCATCAATGGAAACTTGTACTTCCTGCAAAGTCAAGTGCATATCTATCAAATTATTGTGAAGATCTTATTTATAAAATGTTAGTTCGTAATCCAGAAGAACGCTTAACACTTGATGAAGCTATGAGGCACGCCTTCTTTTCACGTGTACCATGGCTACATTTAACTACTTTCCGTGGTCCAGATCTTTCAAAATGTCGTCCTAAAGATTCAGTGCAAATGAATACAAGCACTAGTTCACGATCTGATCAACATCGATTACTGACAATGTATGATTCACAAGGTCAAATACCAGATATGAATTTTGTCAAAGAATTCGGTGTATTTTATACCTCTACAAAACGTAGTTCTTTTTTATCTAAACATCCTAAAACTCAACGATTACAAGTGAGTAGACCATTAAGTAATAATAAAGATGTTCCATCAAATGACAGAGTTCGTATGACTGATGTACGTGGACCAAGTGAAGTAAAATCCAGTAGTCATGGTTCAAGAAATGATTGCCGAAAAGAAGTTCGCAAAAGTGGGAAGTCTTCAGGTCATTCAGGTGTACAAGCTGTTTAAAAGCAATACAGTCTTCTTTACTTTATGTGATCCATCCAGCATATTGGTCAACATTTTAACGTTCAGTTGCCTAGCCATTGACTAAATTATATTTTACTCCACTTGAGGAACTTTCTGTCTACTTGTGTGCTCAGAAGTAGGTCTTTTCATGAATTTGTGTGTGTATGTGTGTGGACTCAGATGCTTACGACCAACAAAGTGAACCAGTTACTGAATGAATGATGCAAATACTTTCTTTCTATCCTCTGAGAAGAAAGAATCACCTACTTTTCACCGAGTATGTGATAGTCGTAGTTTATTTTACTAGCCAATGGCGAATAATTATTGGCATTCAAGATTAAAATCTTGTTTTCATAAGTTGTTTATTTTAATTATCTAAATAAAATAATAATTATACTCCTATTATTATTTTCATTGTTATCATCATAATTTAAAGTATGGTTGATTTTATTTGCATCACAGGTTAGTTGTGTAGTTACTTTAGTTGACGGTGCCTAGCCATGGAATTCTTTCTGCCTGGGATTCATCAGCTGAGTGTATTTGCATTTCCAGTAGCTAACAGTGTTCCCACTGAGACACGAACCCTGCTCCCATCGTTTCAAACACCAAGCCATTACTCACTCGGCCACGAGGGCCACAAGAGCTACCTCTTGTGCAATGATCATCAGTTATTATTTGTTCTTAGGTTATTTTTGTATTTCGTCTTGAATGATTGTATTAGACCGAAATGCTTGATCTTTGTTGAGATTGGGAATTTATTTATTTATTTTTATTTTATTTTGATTTACAGCTTGATTCCACACCGTATTTTCAGTACAAGTGTGGAATTTTCAGCATGGATATCGGTAGCCCAAATTCAGGCCGACCATAGATATCGGGTGTGCGCCGGCAGGGGATCAAACCCCGGACCATGTGCATGGTCGGCGAGAGTCCTAACCACTGTGCCACCGACGCACATCTAGCTGGCAAGTTCCAAATCAGATAAAACGTACACCCTGACTTCCACTGCCAGTTATTATCGACCAAAATAACTTCACGTTTATCTTTAGACATAGCCGAAGCATTTGTACTAGGAGGTGGTATGTTTACGGAGACTGAATATTAGCGTCTAAGGTAATCTTATCATCAAGGGGAAAAGCAAACTAAGTTAAAAACAAAGTCATTTGTGTTTTATACACATGGTTCCTTTGGCAGATTTCGATAAAGCAGGAAAGACCAGATTCGCATTGTAGAATGAAGTCATTCTATTTCGCTGATTAGCATCACCTGCAGACAACGTGAAATTACACAAGGTTATAAAAGAATGGAAATGACATCAATGTTTGAAGGGTAGTAGGGAAGATGTTGTACAAATTTAATACATCCGAAATGCAAGCATTAAAATTTCGAGTTTAAGCCGCTGTCATTTAATGTACCTTTCGAAGCGGGAAACAAGGAAGATGGCGGGGAGGGGGTAGAGAAGACAGAAAAAAAGAAAAATTTCACAAACACTGCTAGCTTAAAGTTAGATAGCAAGTCAAGAAGTTGATGGTTTATAAGATTTAAATTTGTTTAGTGAACCGAATTCAATGCTACGGATGACTGGTTACTATCAAGATGCTGTTTTACCAGGGGAGTGAAGAACTGACTGCACTTTCTTTCTGTATACACAATTTTAGTCTGAAATGTTTGGTCGCAATCGTCTTAGCAAATCATAGTAAATTTGATATCCTTTGTATATTTAGTAATTTGAATGATTTGGTAATCTCGACGAAATCCCCGGTGTTCACAGGATGCCTGGTAATTACACTTCATAAATATCTGCTTCCTTTCAGGCATAAATTTCTTGGAACATGTTCGAAACCCGGGTAGAGGCCCTTCTTTCTGTGCTCCCAATGTAGTTGCTACCACAAATGCCCGTAAATTTGTGGACGCAGTTGAAAGCGACACCAGTAGGGTACTTATCCAGCTAGGATTGGCTTACTGAATATATGCTGCTGAATAGTGTTACCGTGTGCGTCGGCGGTGTAGCGGTTAGGACGCTCGCCGACCATGAACATGGTCCGGCCGACACACTTCTTTATCTCGCTAAGCCAGTAGCAAGACTGGTAAAGAGGGAAGGTTGGGCATGAGGCTAGCAACCCCATCCTGTAAAATAAGCTTGAGGCCCTATGTACCACTGAGGAACGCGAAGGAAAAAGAATAGTGTTACCAGCCTAGCTACAGGAAGCACCTTTTTATTGTTCCTTTCATCATCATTTCAATCTTTTGTGAAATTGTTTCTCCTTTGAATGGGAGAAAAATAAACACTTTTCTTCAACAGTGGGGTATTTTATTTTCTCCTCCTTTACTTTACCTTTGGATACCCATTCCCTCTTAGGCTTTCTCAACAAAGCCTAGTTCTTCTTTCAACTTGTTGGGTGAGCGGAGCTTCCTGACTCTGTCTTACACTGTCCTCACTAATCCATACCTGTGACCAATAGGACAAAAGCTGTTATAGTGAAGATATCCGGTTCAGGTTTCTTCTCTATTGATTGACTTTTCGATCGTATCATCGTTTTCTCTTCTTAAATTGAGATCCAGGAAGCTGAAATCATCATTATATTCTTATTGAACAGTGAATTTAATGTTAGGGTGGATCTCATTGAGACTGTCAAATAATACAGATGTGTTTAGTTCTACACTACTTATGAGTAGCCTAAAAACAGCCAAAAAGAAATTAAGGCTAACTGTCTGATAACTTCATCGATTGCTTGAAAGTTAATGACTGCGCCTATATAATGATGTTTTCGACGTCTATTAAAAAACCTGAGCCTTTTAAGGAAAGCTTAGATATTCAGACTATCCCTTTCTGATTAACACTGAAGAGTAAAACCTAATTGTGCATAATAATATTTGTTAAACTCGAATAAAATAAAGACAGAATACTCTTGAATGTCACCCAAAACATCAAAACCCTGAATACATTTAATCATGAATTTACACTATACTAATCAAAATATCCTTTGCTTTTGCGTACAATTTTAACATTTCATAAGCAATGCATTAAAAAAAGTTTATGTCAAAATACACAGAAACTATTCACATGATGAATATGATATTTCTTCTAATGAGTTATATACATATTGATTACTGCTTAAAATGTGCATACTCTGTGTTGAAAACTAGATTTTTCAATACAGGAATATAATAAGGCAGAGTTATTTGGATTATTGGCATTTGACTGATATCAGTATAGAATTCGTAATGAGATAATTTGAATAAAGCAAGAACAAAAGTGGTTTGTGCAGAATAATATGGTAACATCATTTATTTCGTAGGCTTCTCATCAGCTGCTTACAGCCTAACTAAATTATGAGGTTTGCGTACAGAAAAGTTTTAACATACTTGCAAATTTTTACATGTTGTCAGTTGACAAAAAGTTCCACAGTAAGTGAACAGTGCTCCGAAAATTGTGCTTATATAGTTTTTACACAGGCAGTTCAAGTTTAAACAAAATAGATGTATGCATACAATGGTAAAAGAGTTACGTAATAAAGACAAAATATGAGTTAGATACAGAGTGACTAATAAATTAGGTAACAATGTACTGAGTTCAACTCAAATCATAGAAACAAGAGACAACAAAATT